TGATCATCGAAGCTCTTAAGGAAAGAACTTTAATGGGCTTAAGCATGTGCTCAAGTACTTTATCAATCAGGGAGCATATATTCAGTTCATGTTTGAACGGGGATTTCACTGCCAGTGCTATCATGTGCTAGTGTAAAGTTAGTGCTCTTCAGCTCAATGGTACAAAGATGGTTGTCATTCCACTGCGACCTCTTTCTCGTAACAGACAGCCTATGCAAAAGAAAGGCTATTAACAGCATGCTAAATATTGAAAACTTCTTTGCAATCTAATATAGATGTAATGTAATTGGGAAGAAGACTAGAACTCTACAGTTACTGACTGAACCAAATTAAGTTTTTAGCTTTTCCATTCAGTGTGCTTTGTATTTCACAGGTTTAAACTTTCTTACTGTTTTCCACTGCTATAGTCCAGTAATAACTTACTAGCTACATTTTAAATGTTTGCATAACCTATTACGCTAAACTTCACAACCTTATTGGAAACTTTTTTGCTTTAAACAAGAACCTTCAAATACTACAGCTCTTAGTAAGTATTATATGCATTATTTCTTACATTACACCTTTAAAAAGTGAAATGACTGAAGAAATTGATTTTGTTCTCTGAAAGGAAGAACAGGGTTACATTAATAGAAATTACTGAAACATTTTAATATGCACAAACTGGTAGAAAAAAACCTGCTGCAATAATAAAACAAGCTATTTAGAATTCAAATATAACCTTCCTCTATCGGAAAAACAGATTTTAAATGATCATTCCAAATCCTATATCGTGTTCTTTCTTATTTTTTTTTCAATACAAGTTAGATAATTATGACATATCACCCATAATATTCCACTTAATATTCTTATAATTTTTACCTATCAGTAAATTCCATGTTTTTGCACTCTCTGTATGTATCTTCAAGCCTTTAGTGAAATCCAGTCAGTTTTGTGCTGTTAGCAGACTAGCTGGCCTTAATTAGCAGGTTCTCAATGACACAAAATAGCTTGCATATCTTTCAGAATGGCAGCTTTTAAAAATGTTAGAATTAATACTTCCCTCAAAAGTCAACAAACTTTTGCTAACTTTTCCTTCTTTAATGCAAACAGAAACTTAGAAAAAGGGTTGGCAGTAACACATCGGTTACATTGAAAGATAATTATTGATCTGCTAATTCAATAAACCAGTCACCAGAATAGTGAATAATTTAATGTTCTCCCATTAAAAAAAAAAAATCCAGTCTCTTTAGCTTGCCTATTTATGTTTGTTTAAGCGCAATATTAATCTGTAACTTCAAAAAATACAAAATGTTTCATGAAATGTATATTTTCTTTTTCTTTCAGAGACTCCTGTCCATGGAAATTTAGCTCTCTTGATTGTTCCTAAGAAAGTAATAGCTAAGACATGGGAAAGCATCTGAATTATTTTATTCTCTTTGTAAGCACACAATATATAGAGCTTTATTAATTATTGAAACCTTCTGCCATATGCCACCTAACTTTGAAAAAAAAATATCAGGTAATTACTTAATCAGATGAATTAAGATTATCGCCTTTCAATTATTAACTGTAATACACTTGCATTGTTGATACTATGTTCCCAGTAAATGTTATCTTGTACAATATTGTATCAAGAACCACCTGCCGCCTCTGTGTGACTGTGGAAAAAAGCTTTTAGTAAATGATTACATTACTTTCCTTTTCTAAGGTAATATAATTGACAAATATAGAAAAAAACCCATATTGAAAAAATAAACCTGATAGAATAAAAAAATCATAATACAGTTGAATCAAACACTTTCTCAACATTTTGCTTTCTGTGATCAGAATTCATTATTATCTATTAGGGCGCTACTAATCATAAAATTTCAGAAAACACATAGGAAGACTACCCAATTTGAACTATCTTCACCTCAGCAACAAAGCAGAAACTGCTTCCTTCTTTCCCTCCTTGACACGGTAAAAGAACATGCCACAGGGATGTAGTTTTATTGAGGTACAAAGGTTCATCAGCATTTTGATCAACGCCTGATAAGATCTTCTTATTATGATACTTTTTGTCACCTTCTGCCATATATTTGATCAGCCTGAAACTTCTTTTGGCTTGCACCTATCTTGAGCTGCTAAGAGAAGCCCTGCTTCTCCAGGGAATCTTAAATGGTTATAACTTCAGCAATTGCAAAGGCTGTGATTGCCCAATGATCTCTTCAACATCTATGGATCATGCACAAAAAATATGGAAGTTAACAAGCAGACTCCACAAAAAGTTAGAAAACAGTGAATTAAACATTTTACCTTGCCATTGTTCTTTAAATTCAGTGGCATAGTCAGTCTTCAAATATTTGTCTTGGGTGGATTCTTCCTTAAAAACATTCTTCATAAGTAAAAACTGTCCTTCTATATCAGTCTGAGAGCTGGGATTTGAACTTGGAATAACTTCTATTAATTCATTACTAATATGGAACTCTACAGAAGAGATAGGTTTCCTAAAAAGCAGAAGAAAATATCTGATACTTAAGTTGTTGTAAAAGCACTGTCATAACTTCCCTGTCCGCTCAGTGAATCAAAAGATTCACTGAGAATCAAGGCACTCAAAAAGATACTCTAAGAACTTTGATAATCACCGTATTCACTGAAGAAGATCGGAAATTACAGACTTGTTATCACTGTTCACTAGGTCCACAGTCAAACTATGTGTTTAATTCTTCCCCGCAAAAAAGCCCTTTAAGTTTACGCCCAGCATTAAATTGAACAAAAGGATAATGGCCAGAAAAAAGCATCAAACCGATTGATGTCAGAACATCTGTGACAAAAATTTGCTGCTGGGTTAAATGCATAGTCACGTTTTAAAAATCATGCAGAAATTGCAAGTAACTGCAACAGGGAAAAGACAGCATTTTCCTGTCACTTTTCATACTAATCTCAATATTACTATTATTTGTCAGGAAGAAAAACCTGCTTGCCAAATAAACAGCAAAATCATTTGACTACAGAAAAAAAAAATCATAGTCCTGAGCTAATTATGCATCTGGACAAAATATTTGTAATTGCTAATCAAAATATGGTCTTGTTAATACTATGTTATCCATATAAAGTGACTGGAACAATAAACTGACTCTTACTGATGAGTGTTGACATTTCTGAAGAACCCAAATTTTCTGCTCATCTATACTTACTGAACTTAATATTCTAATTTCAAATATTCTAATTTCAGACAACTGATTTCTCAACTGTGCATCTTACTGATTTATTCAGTTTTTTAATAATCCTTGCATTACACAATCTTGCTATTTGCTAGCCATCTGGAGGTAAATCTTATAAATGGAATCAGTATATGAGTGCACCTCTGAATTTCGGTATAGACCTTCATGTTTAGGCAGGAACAGTGAGGAATCTCTACTACACGTCTTAAAAAAAACCCAACTATTTTACAACATTTTTGAGTATGGCTCAAAAGTTAATTTTGAAACTACAAGTAGTATAGTTCACAAGCAATAACTATGCAGTATTGATAATAATTAATGTCCAAACTTTAACATGGCATAAGCCTTTGAAAATCCATGGACCTTAGAACACTGTGCCAAGTTACATGTGGGCCAACTTCACTGAAATCAACGGGTTTCCCTATAGTTTTATAGATATATTATGCCTAAGTGAGTTGCTGATTTGAGACTACATGGACCAGCTTTTTCCAGAGTCAAGCCCCTAGTAAGGCTGTTCTGGAAAATGGTAAATATTTCGAATGACAGGCTACTCTAAGTATGGAAACATATGTGTCCTGGTTTCGGCTGGGATAGAGTTAATTTTCTTTACCTTTTCTCCTTGGAGAGCCATTCTATGGGGGAGACAGCAGGGGGACACTTTCCCCTGCTCCTTCACCTTCCCCTTCCCCTCCAGGCTAGTTACAACAGCTCCTGAGAATTTTTAATATCCTTGGGATGTTCAAACCAGCATGGTCCTATTGCTATGTCTTCTCAATGTGGTTCAGCTCGTATTTAAAGTTAAACAACTATTTAAGAATACCACCCAGAGATCTGCCCCGAGGCTGGATAGTACCCTGAGCAAGTACCTAGGGCAGTGGGCACCTCCAATGTTTTGGAACTTCAGCCATGAACAAGTGTAGAATCCTGAAAAACTAGTAGAATATTTGGAAGAAGTCTGCTGTCACCCTGGCAATTCCAGAGAGACACAAATCACTGCAACATGCTGGGGCCTGGCCCATGCCTACCAAGCCCTGTTCAACACTATTCAGTACCCTCAAGGGGAAGAGAAGGTCTCTGGATCTGATGACAAAGCGTCAGGCACTGCAGCTACTCCAACCCTTGCAAAAGGCCCTGCGGCTCAACCAAAGAACCAACCTGTGCTGGTATCAATCGCCCCTATACACAAGAAGAAATGTTGGAAGCAAAAGTCAGCTCGTTTAGTAAGGGAAGAAACTCTTCTCCTTCTACGGGAAGAAGTGGATGAGGCAGACTAGTCTGAAGCAGGGCCATCACAAGAAGAGGAGGAGGAAGAGGCAGAACTCATAAACAAGGCGGTAACCACCCGATCCCTGTCCCTGAATGAGCTGAAAGATATGCAGAAAGATTTCAGCCATCATCCAGGCGAGCACATTGTCACCTGGCTGCTCCGACGCTGGGATAATGGGGCCAGTAGCCTGGAATTGGAGGGTAGGAAAGACAAGCAGCTGGGATCCCTTTCTCGGGAAGGGGGCATTGAGAAAGCGATTGGAAAAGGGGCACAAGCCCTCAGCCTCTGAAGGCAACTCCTGTCAGGCGTGAAGGAATGACATCACTTCAAGGAAGATGTTATATGTCAGCCAGGCAAGTGGACCACCGTGGAGAGGGGGATCCAGTACCTGAGGGAATTAGCCATGCTGGAGGTGATTTATGGTGACCTGGACAACGAGCAGTTATTCAAAGATCCAGATGAAGTCAAGTGCACTTGACCCATGCGGTGGAAGTTTGTACGGAGCACACCATCGTCATATGCCAACTCATTAGCAGTAATGAATTGGAAAGATGGAGAGGAACAAACAGTGGATGAATTGGCTGGCCAACTTCAGCAATACAAAAAAAGTATCTCTTCCTCCCTATGGGCCTGCATCTCAGCTGTGGAGAAACTGTCCTGACAGGTCCAGTAACTCAAAGAGAATATGTCCTACTCCGCACCTGTACGGACCAGTATCAGCCATTAGGAGTAAGCATCCCTCTGCTGAAGAGAAAGGATATAAAGGGTACACAGCATGGGCCACCCTGTGGTTTTTTCTGCGTGACCACGGAGGGGACATGAGGAAGTGGAATGGAAAATCTACCTCGACCCTAGAGGCACGGGTACATGAGTTGCAAGGAAAAACAATCACAAAAGGGGATTCTTCCAGGAAAACTGCTGCTCCAGTTTCCAGTGAGCAGTTCCCCAGACAGAGTAGAAGGGCTGATCTTACTTCTGATCTTAATAA